AAATGCTTGTCATTCCTCTGTAGCATCTGGTCCCCACTGGACCCTCATCATTTCCTTCACCTGCTCCCCCCACCAACCAAACTGTGCAGCTCTGCAACTGCATCCTGGCCCGTCTTCACCCTTCTGCCCCCAACCCTCACCTCCTTGTACCCACAATACGTTTTTCCCAATAAAAAATAAAAAAAGAGCAAGAATAAATTCAAGCCTCAGGTTGCAATGCTTAAAGACAAAATCTTGAATGATCCTGCAAACGTCAAAAGAAAATGGAAGTGATAGAGTCATGCGCCAAAGGAATATCTCTCTGTGTTTCATTAACTATGCAAATCCATTTGACTTTTACTCTATGTGGATAACAACAAATTGTGGTTAACATTGAGAAGAATGGGAATCCCAGAACACCTGCTTGTGCTCGTGCAAACTTGGAGCAAGAAGCTCTTGTCCAAAGAGCGAAAGGAAATACTGCACGGTTCAAAATCAAGAAAGGAATATGCCAAATATTAATCCTTTCTCCAAACTTTTTCAATCTATATACTGAACAGATCAATTGAGAGACTGGACTTTGTGAAGAAGAATATGACATCAGGTTTTGAGGAAGACTCATCAACAACCTACCTTACGCATATGCATTGTTCACCAGAACTGAAGAGGACTTCAGGCACTTGGCTGCAGAAGATCAAAGACTGCAGCCTTCAAGATGAAGAAAACAAAAATTTTTACTGTCAAGATAATGGGCTGCATCATGATAGGTGGAGAAAATATTGAGATTAATGACTTCATCTTGCTCAGATCCACAGTCAGATCCTTGGCACCACCATTTGGGAAATCAAAATAGAAGTTACAGTAGGGAAACCTCAGTCAGGGACATCTCTACAGTGCTAAAGAGCAATGTTTTCAGTATGGAGACTAAGGTGCACCTGATCTAGTCTTTTCAGTTGCTTGACAATTGACTAAGGATAATGGAAGAAGCAATGATGAAATTTGAGTTTTATTCCTGGAGATGAGTGTTGAACATACCATGGACTGCCAAGAAAGCAAACAGGTCTGTCCTGAAGAGAATGAAACATACTTGCTCCTTGGAGGAAAGGATTTTGAAACACCATCTCACAAACATTGGGCATGTTTTCAGGAAGAGCCAGTTCTTGGAGAAGGACATCATGCTTAGAAAGGTAGAGGGACCACACAAGAGAGGCAGACTCTGGATGAGATGGATTGACACGGTGACTGTGACAGTGGGAAGCAGACATGTCAGAGACTGATGCTTGCTTAGGATAGGGCAAGGTGCAGAGGTGCTTTTCATAGACTCATTATGAGTCACAGTTGGCCCTAAGTGGTCTATAAATTATTTAATCATGTTCAATGTATGTTAACCATGTAGAGAAGTGAGATAAATGCTCTATCCAAAACTTATGTTTGTTTCTTACAGGTGACATGAATCCTGTAAGTAGTGGTTTTTACCTTGAGAATTTGACCATCAGGAAGTGTACTCAAAATTTCAGAACTTTCTTAATCTTTGTTCAGGGTTCTGTGACCTTTTTGTGTGTATCTAATAAACATCAGGATGGATGGTGAAGAGATTGAGATTGTTAACAGCTTTAGTTTGCTTGGCTCCACAGTCAACACTTGGTACCAGCAGTCAGGAAATTAAAATGTGTATTGCAATGGGAAAGTTTGCTGTTAGGGACCTCTTCAAAGTACTGAAGAGCAATGATGTCACTCTGGAGACCAAGGTGCACCTGTTACAGGCCATGGTCCTTTCAATCACTTAGTATGTGTCAGAGAGTTGGACAATGATGAGAGAGGTTGATCCCTTTGAACTGTGGTGCTGAAGAAGAGTATTTAATAAAACAAACAGGTTCTTCCTGAAGAGGGTTAAACCAGGCTGCTCCTTGGAGGCAAAGTTTCTGAAGCTTCATCTGACATACTTTGGACATGTTGCAAGGAGGAACTGGTTCTTGGAGAGAGACATCATGCTTGGGAGGGTGGAGGGACAGCACAGGAGAGGAAGATCCTCTATGAGGTGGATTGATTCAGTGACTGGGGTAATGGGGATAGGTGTGTCAGAAACAGTGAGGTTGGCACAGGATAGAGCAGGGTTTAAGACTGTTGTAAACAGGGTCGCTATAGTTGCAGGTGATTCGGCAGCACCTAACAGCAACAACAACATCCCATATTCTGATCATGTATTGTAATCTCTGTTCCCTAAATCTGATTATGATGTCCAGATCTGTGGCCATCATTGTATTATACTTCTATACACCACCCACTTTCCATTTATTTGTGAAACAATGTATTTTGTATACGAGTAACCAACTCTCAAAAGATAAAAATTACGCTATTAAAATATTTACTAGAGCGTCAGGATGGATGATGAAGAGATTGAGAGTGTTCACAGCTTCACTTTGCTCGGCTCCACAGTTAACACTCTTGGCACCAGCAGTCAGGAAATAAAAAAGCGTATCGCGATGGGAAAGTCTGCCATTAGGGACCTCTCAAACGTACTCAGGAGCAACAGTGTCTCTCTGTAGACTAAGGTGCGCCTGATACAGGTCATGGTATTTGCAATCGCTTGTTATGCATCAGAGAGTTGGACAATGACTAGGGAGGACAGAAGGAGAGTGGATGCTTTTGAGCTGTGGTGCTGGAGAAGGGTACTGAATGTACCCTGGACTGCCAGGAAAACAAACAGATTCATCTTGGAGAGGATTAAACCAAGCTACTCCTTGGAGGCAAGGATTCTGGGGCTTCGTCTGACATACTTTGGACATGTTGCCAGGAGGGACGGGTCCTTGGAGAGGGACATCATGCTTGGGAGGGTGGAGGGACAGCGCAGGAGGGGAAGACCCTCTATGAGATGGATTGATTCGGTGACTGGGGTAATCGGGATGGGTGTGTCAGAGGCGGTGCGGTTGGCGCAGGATAGAGCAGGGTTTAGAGCTGTTGTGCATAGGGTCGCTATGAGTCGGAAACGACTCGATGGCACATAACAACAAACAACAAGAACAATGCAAGAGGCTGAAATGTGGTTTAAATTTGCAGATATTCCACTTAAAAGCAATTATTTCTGAAATGTGTCTTTCCCAACAATGAATTTCTTTATCATAGATTTTCATAACCATTTTGCAATTTCATTTTACCAATTCGAGAATTGTTACCAGTTTTCTTTGGTGTGTGTCTTGCCTTTCCAAATGTATTCTCAGCTCCTGAAAGGTGGTGGGTGGGTAGTTTCCTGTATGTTTAATGTATTCTCTTCCAGGCCTAACCCATGGTTGGCAGCAAGTAAGTATTCTGTGAAAGGGAACTTTGGATATTACTATTTGCTGAAAAATAGAAATCAGTTGCTTATTCAGTGGCACTTTGATGGTGTTATATAACTGTTTTCTTCAAGCTCAGTTCTTTAAACTTTGACAATTCAAAACTATGAATTAGGTAGGATCTCTGCTATTAGGTGTTAATTTGGACTGAAAATTCTTTGGGACAAATTCTTATTTGATTCAGGTATAAAATTCCAGAATCTTTCTCTCCGACCTTTCTCTCATTGTTTATTTATTTTTTTTCAGACAGTTCTTGTGCACACCTCAGAGACAACCCGTCTTAAATATTTCGTAGATTTGTTGCTTAAGAAAGGAAATCCACTGATGCTAGTAGGAAATGCTGGTGTGGGAAAAACTGTTTTTGTAGGTGACATCCTCGCAAGTCTCTCTGAAGATTATGTTGTGTCCCGTGTGCCTTTCAACTACTACACAACATCTGCAGCTCTGCAAAGTGAGTGTTTCTGCAGCTTACAACACAGAAAGGAGCCAGCAGAAGCTGCCAAGGCTGGGAATACAACCCATTGAGATTATTGGTTTTCCTTAGGCTTCAGACATGCTTTTTCAAACTCAGATGCATGTTGACTTATCAGTAGGTTGGGTAAATTGAATTTGCTTAAATATAGTTCTGATTTTGGCTTTAATACCACTCATGATTTTATGTAGGAAGCTCTGACGGCCTAGTGGTAAGAAGCGATACTGCAGTCCCAAAGGCATGAGGTTGGAATCCACCAGCTGCTCCGCAGGAAAAAGATAGGCATCTCCTCTCGCAATTAACTGCCCCTGAAAACCCACTGAAGGGTTTAGTTCCAAATCGATGGTACACAGCAACATAATTTTATTTGGATTATTACACATTAGAATAACAAGAGTTGGGGTTTTTTTTTGTTTTTTGTTTTATTATTAATTTCAATGAAAATTTACCAAGACTTTGAATTTCCATTCATTCATTGTTGCACTTTTCGCCCCTCTCAACCCTCCCCCCAAGTACACTACCCTCAGGAAAGTAAAAGAAAAGTACTTCCATGGTTTTACAATCCCTCCCCGCAGGTCCACTCCGTTATGCAGCCTTCGCTCTGGATTTCTGTCATGACTAAAATACCTAATCACATATCCCTTTTAAACAGTTTTTTCCCTCATCTGTTTCAATGCAGTATACATTACTGAACCCATCTTTGTCAATTTCTCCCCAATCCCAAGGTCAGTCCTGTTTTACAACAGTGGTACTGTGCAGTGTTTGTCCTTTTGTGACTGAGATACTTCAGCATAATGTCCTCCAGGGTCACCCATTTTGAATAATATTGTATGAGTTCCTTGTTTTTTAATGCAGCATAGTATTCCATTGTGTGAATATACCACAGCTTCTCTATCTATTCATTTGTTGATGGGCACTTAGGTTGTTTCCAACTCCTTGATATTGTGAACAAAGCTGCAGTAAACAGGGGTGTGTGCATATATCTGCTTGGATGTCAGTTAGGGTTTCTTTGGGGTATTCCCAGTAGTGGAATTGCTGGGTCAAATGGTATCTCTATTTGCAAATTTTTGGGAAAGCACCATACCGCCTTCCACAGTGGTTTCACCATTAAAAAAGAAAAGAATAACAAGAACTTACACATGTATAGAGTTAAGGAAAAGAGAGCCAATAAAACATAGTCTGGAGGGAGTTGCACTGCTAATCCCAGTGCACCTCCCTGGCAGTTTGAATCCATGAGCTGCTCTGGGGAGAAAGGTGAACAGTCTTCATCTGTGTGATTTACAGCTTCTGAAAACCCACTGGAGCCTTGCCTTTTCAAATGTATTCTCAGCTTCTGAAGGATGGTAGGTAGATCCTAATGCATTTAATGTTTTCCCTTCTATGCCTAATGAATTACTTCTGGCTCAAAGGCAATGAGTTTGAATTTCTGTTTGAGAGTTTCAGACAGTAGACGTAGAAAGTAGAATAATACAAAACCATAAAAGTATAGGGTAGCATATAATAGATGGAAGGGTGTGTGTGTGTATATATACAAAAATATATATATTTATATTCCATGGCATTGAGTTTGATGTATGTACACACACATACACATAATTGTTCTGTACCATCGAGTTAGAGCTGACCCACAGTGACTCTCCACAAGAGGCATGGGCGGAGATTGCCCATCCTTCTCCCACTGAGCAGCTCGTGCATTCAAACCATGTGCCTCTGGGATTGCAGCACAGCTTTTTACCGGTCAGCTGCCAGAGCTCATAAGAAAGTAAACTGAACAAGTAGTAAGAACATTGTCCTACATGATATGATTACTATGATGCTTTGGAGGTCTCCAGAAAAGGATAAGTAGGGTGGGCAACAGAAGGGAAATGCAGGAGAAAACATAGTATCAAGGTGGTCAGAAACTAGAGACCGTGCAGATCTTAACCTTCAAAGAAATAACCTGAAAATATGGAGGGAGTGAAATGGAGAGAAGATAGGGGAAATAAGAGTCAAGGGTAGATGATTTTATATTCTATCAGTGAGAGGTAGAAATAATTATGCATTTGTTTCAGAGACCCTTGAGAAATCTCTAGAGAAAAAGGCAGGTCGTAACTATGGTCCAGTTGGAAATAAAAAGTTGGTCTATTTCATTGATGACATGAACCTGCCTGAAGTAGACTTCTATGGCACTGTTCAGCCCCACACTCTGATTCGACAGCATATTGACTATGGACACTGGTAAGTCATTCTGTATCAAAATCTAGTTCGTATTATGAGCAAAGACTTGGTCAAGTTTTTAATCATGGTCTGGGTAAACGTTTCCAGGGCACCTTCTTTTTCCAGTCTGTTCACACACTTCTTGTCTGGTGATGTGAACAGCAAGCCCCCCAGTGCAGCACTCGTCCCACTTCCTCCCCTGTTTTCCATTTCCGTTCATCCTTCTTTCCTACCCCTTCTGCTTTCTGAGCTTTATCCCTGGGAAAATGCTGGTCTTTTGATATCAAGTTGCTTATTCTAAGGACTATTTACCTTCCTAGTGTTACGGCTGTCTTGGCTGAAAGGTGAGTCAATGGGGTAAGTTCAATGCCAAGAGTGAAGGCTAACTAAGGGCCGTAGTCTAGAAGGTTCCATCAATATCTGTCTGACCAAACAGCATGGTCTCCTTTACAATGTTGAGTTTTGCTCCACATTTTTCTCCCACTACATCCAGGACCTATTGTTGTGGTGCCTCTCAGAGCTGTTGGTAGTGGCACCTGGCATCATATATCTAGTTTTGGTGATCTCCTGGCCAAGGAGGCTGCGGGCCCTTAATCCTTCGGGCTAATTATTTTCTATACATGTTTGATGGGTTGCTAAATAAAAGGTCAGCCATTCAAATCTACCAGCTATTCCGTGGACAAATATAAGGTAATATGATCCCTTAAAGATCTACACCCTAGAGAACCTAGTAGGGCAGTTTTACTCTGTCTTATGGGGACACAGTAAGTTGGAGCCCCCTCGACAGCAGTGGGTCTGCTTATCTTTACTTTGAACTGAATGAGACTGAGAGTTGCACCTTAAATGGCTGCTTGCAAGCTTTTAATACACCAGTCACTACTCCTCAAAGTAGGATGCAGAGCATTTGCTCTGTGGATTATCTTGTGCTATGGACCTTCACATGTCCCCTGAGACTCCAGTCCTCAGAGCCCAGACCCAGTGATTCATTCCTTTGAGATGTTTGGTTATGACTAAGCAATTTCATAAATTTTTTCTTTGTGTATTCTACAATATCTGCAACATGCAGAACTACCCTGTCAAGTCTGTCTGTCTGTCTAATGTAGTCTCATTCTTCTTCCCAAAATGTAATTATTATTTGGAGAAACAGTCTAAAACTGAGAATGACCCTCAGTTTCTTACACATCTATGGAGCATTTTAATGTAACACTTGCTGAGTTTATTTGACATCCTTTTCCATCATATTCAATGGCATAGCTTCCCTTTGTACCTTTTGAAGAATTTAATTGAAAAGTAACCTGGAAAAATTTAGTTACCCAGAAAGTATGTCTTCCTTTAGGTGCTAATTCACATGAAACTATTTGAGAGAAGCTTGATCTTGTTCTGTGAGGTGTAAATCCATGTTAATATTTTCTGTCACCATTTGTGATTCTTATCATTAAGTACAGAGAGATCCCAAGCCTTTGAGGGGCCACAGGGGTGTCCTGACTAGACATAGACCTCAGACACGTGAGAATAAATGGGAAGTGGTTTTTCTACTGATTGAGCTTCAGATCTTGGTTTTAGGTTCTCTGAGCAACAGTTCGTAGGGTCCTCAGAAAATGAATCCAGGTCTATTTCACAAAGCATTTTTATCAAGATCCTTTACATTGTAAAGGAAGGGACCCCCCTATGAGCTGGTGAATTTAGCTGTGCTGTCCCCACCAGTTGTTGGATTGAAGGTTCTTTGTTCTGTTCTTTCAGGTATGATCGACAGAAGGTGACACTTAAAGAAATCCATGGCTGCCAGTATGTTGCCTGTATGAATCCGCTGGTGGGCAGCTTCACAATCAATCCCAGACTGCAGGTGGGTGTTAGTGCTGCTCTCCCAAATAATCCCTAAATATAACACAAAAAAAATCGCAGGCTATGATTCTTGTGCTTTTTCATACACATGTGGGCTCCTTTTGGATATTTGGTTAAGCATGCAAGCTCAATAACAATTAACAACCACCTCTACAACGTACAGTAAATGTTGCTTGCTCGCTTACATGAATTCAGCTATGAATGACTCTGCTCATCTTGACTGGTTCGTTCATATGTTTATGACTCACTGTAAGTTAACCTAGACAGACTTCAACTGGAGTGACTAGAAGGACCTGGCTTGGCTTCATGTGTTTCTCATCCTTCTTCAGATTTTTTTAGTTCATATCAAAGGCAGAAGCTTACAAGGACAAGTGAAATGGTACAAGCTTTGACACACTGTGCTTTCTGCATCCTTCTGTTGGCTCAAGGTTACTTACCAAGTCAGAGTGCAAGACTCTACAGAGTTACATGGCAGGGAATGTTGATCCAGGAAAAGATGGAAAAAGACAGGTCTTTTTACCCTACTTCAGTCTACTGGTACCCTTATAATCCCTGTTTTAGACAACTCTAATATTTGTTTTCTTTTCAGAGACACTTCACGGTGTTTGCATTCAACTTTCCATCCTTGGGTGCATTAAACACCATCTATGGCCAGATCCTTGGTTCCCATTTCCAGCAGCAAACATTTAATCCATCCATTCTCAAGAGTGGCCCCACTGTGATCCGAGCAGCAATAGCATTCCAGCAGATGATGACTCATAACTTCCTACCCACCGCCGTCAAATTCCACTACGTCTTCAATCTAAGAGACCTGACCAACATCTTCCAGGTGCTCTGGTTGTCGTGTGTTACACCTCTTGGATATTAGAAGAATTAGAGTAAAATTAATAGTGTCTGTTCTTGAATTTAGTATGTAACTTTGCTCGGTGCTTTGAAATTTATTATTTCATTTTACACGAATAATCTTTCCTTTGTGAGATAAATATGGGAGGCTTATTATTCCCAGTTTATCAGGAAGAACAATATTTTCCCTCAGCTTATGAAGTGATTTGTCAATAAAACCAAGGATAAAGTCTAGGCTCCCTGTTTTGTTTTTGCCCAGACATGTGAGTTCTTGTACTACAGAGAAATTGGTCATGTGTTTGCATAAAATCTGTTTCTGTCCTATAATTTTTTTAATTATTAAATTTTATTAATTTTAATGAACATTTACAGAGATTTTGGGTTTCATTCATTCATTGTTGCACTATTTTCTCTACCCTCCTCCCCAGTTCGTTCTTCTTTTTTCCCCCCCTTGAAAGTCTGTTTTAATTGTCCAATTGCCACAGTGCTTGTCAAAGCCAGTTCTGATTAATCTCCTTTGTGTGTCCTTTGCCATTCCCTATCACTCCTCCCTGAGAGAGACTTCACCCTGAGTCATAAGGAAAAGGGGATGGCGTATTCTCTTAGACATGACCAGAGAAATGATAAATTTTTAATATCTGGGTCATTTGGGTTAGTTATTAACAATTAACTTGCTTTCCTAGTAAAAGGGAAGTGTTTATGTTTTGATTTAGCAAGTCAAATTCCAATGAGGAGATATATCAAATCTGAGTGGGCTTTTAAAAAATGTAACAGATATGGTCTATTTTATATAGCAAGAGGTGAATTATGATTCTAAATCCTTTAGTGAAAGAGCTTGTGAATTGATTGCACTTGAAAACTTAGTAAAATTTATTTACATTTGTATTTGATAGTTTTTATTCTTTTATATTTTATAACCTTTTGTAAATCACTCCACAATGCATCAAAACTACAACAGCATTAGATATGAGCCTCTAAGAGCAGGGCCTGTAGCTTTTCATCTCTGGAGTTTTAGCACCTGGTGTAAGGACTGTGTTCGATAAAATGGTGTTGACAGGCAGATTTTGAAACCTTAGAAGAAAAAGGGAGGTGGAAGACCTTAGGGGAAATGAGAAGAACATTCTCTCTACTCACCTTTCATGTCCAGTCTATTGGCTGCACCTGACACTTCCAATTTTTTCTTTTTTTTATCATTTTACATCTTATTCCTCACAATTCTCTTGGTAGTCTCCTATGGTCCAGAGAAAGCAGAATCTTTCTTTCTGCAGAGTGGATCTGTATGAATTCGGCTTATTGAAGGACAGTATTAAATAGTCGGGGTTGATGGCAAAGTGGTCTAGTCCTAGCCCAAGAACTACTCGCAGGCTCTGTGTGATCATGAACCATTAACTTTAAATTTCATATTCCTCATCTGTGGAACTAAAGGGTTAGATCATATGATAGCAAAGATTTTTAGGATAAAAACTATCTTTAAGATTATCTATTTGAACTTTGGTTTGAAAAACTTAATCCTTTGGGAGACGTAATAGTCACAAGCAATTGTTGTCTTGTTATGTGCCATCGAGTAGCCAGTCACTCATAGCAACTCTACTATGTACAGCAGCTCTGAAGCCTGCCCTGTCCTGAGCCAGTCTCACTGACTCCGACATACATACTCCCATTGTCCCAGTTACTGTATCAGTTCACCTCATCTGGGGTCTTCCTCTCCTGTGTTGTCCTCCACTCTTCGAGCATGATGTCCTTCTCCATGGATGGTCTCTCCTGGCCATGTGCCCAAAGTATGTGAGACGGAGCTTCAGAATACCAGCCTCCAGGAAGAAACTTGGTTTCATCCTCTCCAAGACAGACTTGTTTTCTTGGTGGTCCATGGTGACAAGCTGTGGTATTTAATTATTGGGGTAGTCTTGAAACAACAATCTTTTTTGCATTCTTAAAAATTAACATAATAGTATGAAAGTAAAATGTAATTTATCAAAGGAGGAACTTGATGTGTACCTACTTTTACTTATATTTCTTTTCATTTAACACGTCTCTAACCTTAAAACTTAGTGATATTAAAGGCTATCCTTACCTTGACATGCCATCCAATTCTAAATTAAAAGTCTTTTTCTTGTTTTTACCTTGTAGGGAATTTTATTTGCTTCTCCTGAATGTTTAAAAGTTCCAAATGATTTAATACGCCTGTGGCTTCATGAATCATCCCGTGTTTATGGAGACAAACTGATAGACACAAAGGATTGTGATTTATTTCAGAAGAAGATGCTGGAAATAGCTTATAAATATTTTGAAGTAAGTTTCTGACTGCTGGTGGTCACTGTTTCCTCTAACACCATGTGACTCTGGGCCAACGTTAGAGAAGAATGTGAGGAAACTACTGTGTGCTTATTGTTGTGAAACATCTACAATTCCAGAGTCCTTGTATTCTGCTTGAGGACACTCTGCTCTTCTTGACAAGGACAGGGAACTGGAGTGGCCTACTGGGTCAGGAAAGACTTGCACACCCAGTCCAAAGGTGAGCAATTGAATCCACCTGTTCCACCAGAGAAGGAAATTGGGCAACCTCCTCCAGCACAGTTTACAGCCTCTGAAAACCCCCTGCAGGGTCAGCAATGAGTCAGTTCTGACTTGACGGCACATTAACAACAATAACATTATTTATAGACTGAAACGTCTTTGTTATTGTTGTGTAGCCAATTCCTAGCTGACCCTCTGGCAGGTTTTCAAAGGTGGTAGATCACACAGGAAGTGATGCCTGTCTTCCTTCCATGGAGCACCTAATGGATTCAAACCACATGCCTTTGGGTTGACAGTGCAACTCCTTACCATTAAGCCACTGGAGCTGCTGGGACTACTTTGGATAAGGCAGATAGTTGACCACTTACCCACTAGAAGAAAGGTTGGTGGTTTGAATCTACCCAGTGGTACCAAAGAAGACAGGCCTAGCAATCTATTTGCAGATTTCAGCTTTGAAAACCCTATGGGGCCACAGGTTTACTCTTACATACAGGAAGCCTCCATGTGTTGGAATTGAGTCTGTGGCTACTACAACTACTGATGAATTGAGCTGTGTTTCCTTTGATAGGCCCCCATCAATCATTTTGGGTGGCTAACATAAGCGTATTTCTCTCCTCCTTGTTCTGCAGGACATAGACCATCACATGCTGAACCAACAGCCCCTTATTTACTGCCACTTTGCTCATGGGGGTGCAGATCCCTGTTACATGCCAGTGAAGGACTGGGACGTGCTGAAGGCAGTTCTTACAGAAACATTAGACAACTACAATGAACTAAATGCTGCTATGCATCTAGTTTTATTTGAAGATGCCATGCAACATGTGTGAGTTAACAAGTTATGATATGTTTTGTTCAGAAAAGAAAATCTACATGTGTGGTGGTGGTGTTTTTGTAATCATCTTGTCTCATGCCCACTGAGTGGAAATCAACTCATAGCTGCACCTCTCCTCCAGGGTTTTGTGTGTGTGTGTTGTTGTTGTTGTTAGGTGCTATGAAGTCCAGTAGAATTCATAGAGATCCCGTGAACAGATCTGATGTGCCATCTTCATCTTCAGTGACACACTTAAGCCCATTGCTATAGTCATTTTGTCAGTCCATCCATTGAGTGGCCTTTTAAAGGCTGTAGAATGCAAAGGAACAGATTACTTATATTTCTAGGAGAAGGGCTATTTTGTTTCTACATAATAGCTTATGTGGATTGCTGCTTTCTTGACATTATGAGAGTCTTTTCTGAGTAGTATTAGGTTGTTATAACTATGAAATTATCCAGGGTACAGCAATGTTTTGTTAAGCACCTATATATTTGTGTTTTTTACAGGCCTTGGGCCTAACAGCAGTTTTTCGCCATAGTAGCTGAATGAGCAAGAAGGAAGCCTGTTGCTCCCTTCTAGATGTGGCTTTTCACCACCGTCGAGGGGCCCTGGATCTCCCTGTTGCTTGAGTTAAGGGATCCTACGAGGTCAGGCCAGACAGCAGGGTTTTTTCCCCTCCAAGTACTTGAGTTACGTGGTCCTCCAAGGTCAAGGTAGACAGCAGTTTTCCCCCCAAATAACTGTGGGAGCAGCGCAGGTGATGCTGTGCCATCATGTGCTTCCTGCTGTCCAGATTACTTATATTTCTCTTGCAGAACAACTGGTGGATTCGAACCACCTGCCTTTGGGTGAATAGCACAACTCCTCACCCATTAGGTCACCAGAGCTCCCTCCGTTGTTCTACTATGTACACACCCTTACTTTGTTACTGTTCCTCTTTTTGACAGATCATACTCAGCAATCTGAACTATCCATTCTTGACTCTTGTTCACCATATAAGGATATAGAAATCTCTTTATTCATCATATCATAATCTTAATAAGGTCTTACACTATTTCTAAAATACCATCACATTCATCACTGCCTTTTATTTCACAGCAGCTCTAGTAAGTAGAAATATTTAAAAGGGAGGGGATTTGTTAAAAATGTTTAAGTGACAGAGCAGGGCTGAAAACCTATTTTCATTGGTGAATTAGGCTGTGTTGAGTGTGTACTGTGTGCCAGGAAGGAATTTTGGCAGCCTGCATGGCATCTTTGGGCACTTTAAAGAAAAAAAGAGCATCTTTCCTTCGCATATAAGTTATAGGAAAGTCTTGGCCAGATGTAGAGCTTGGTTGGCCAGGCTCTTCCTCACCTACTTGACTGGGCACATTGGTGCAGTGCAGACTACCTTACCATCCATAGCACACGACTATCAGTCCTGCACTAGGATTTGAATATACAGCAATGAATAAGATAGGCAATCCCTTCTCTAATGGAATTTGCATTTTCTCTAATGGGGTTTGTATATATGGGTTCTTATAAGGATCTCTGGTGGCCAAGTGGCAAGAAGTTGCTCTGCAATCCCAAAGGCACATGGTTCAAGGCCACTATCTGCTCCACAAGAGAAGAAAGATGGACAATCTCCTCCCATGTGATTAACTGCCTTTGAAAACCAGATGGAGGGTCAGCCGTAGATCGGTTCTGGCTCTATAGTGCTCAACAACAGCGTAAGGAAATTAACAAATAAGGGGGGGGGGAATTGCCAGTTATGTGTCATGCTGAAAAAGAAATAGAAGGTTCTGTTCCAAAGTGGCTGTTGTATCTGTGGAAAGGTGAAGGGTCAATCAAGACTTGGAGTGAGGTTTCAGAGACTTGTAGAAACAGCACTCTGAATAGAGAGCATATTTCATGTGGCTTTGAGGCAGGAATAGATTTAGAATGTTCAAGAGGATCAGAGTTACTAGGGCAAAGGGGGAAAAGTAAGAGTATATGAAGAGGATATAGAGGTAAAACCAGCCTTACTGACAATGACTATTTCCTTGTAACCAGGGTGGTGGAGGTGGTTAAGTGCTTTTGAGTCAAGTATGACTTAAAGCTTAACATCAAGAAAACAAAGATTCTCACCACTGAGCCAATTGGCAGCATCATGATAGATGGTGAAGAGATTGTTGATAGCTTTAGTTTGCTTGGCTCTACAATCAACACTCTTGGAACCAGCAGCCAGGAAATTAAAAGACAAATTGCATTGGGAAAGTCTGCTATCAGAGACTTCTCCTGAAGTACTAGAGAGCAATGTTGTCAGTCTGGAGACTAAGGTGCGCCTGATACAGGCCATGATCTTTATAATTACTTGCTATGAAGGAAGACCTTCGATGAGATGGATTGAGTCAGTCACTGGGGTAATGGGGATGGGTGTGTCAGAGATAATAAGATTGGCAAGGGATAGGGCAAGGTTTAGGGCTGTTGTACATAGGGTCACTATGAATTGCAGGTGACTAGATGGCACATAACAACAACAGTGATTCATAGTGATCCTGTGAACATCAGATATGGACCCTGTTGGATTCTGTGTTGTTCTCATCATCTCTGCCACACTAGAGTACATTGTTATAGTCACTATCTATCTTATTGAAGTCCTTCCCCTCCTTCACTGATCCTCCACTTTTCTGAGCATGATGTTCTTCTCCAATGACTGACCCCTTCTACCAACATGCCCAATGTATATTTTATGAAGTTTCACCATCCACCTTTCTAAGGAGCATCCTGGCTGTGCTCTCTCCAAGACATACCTCTTTGTTCTTTGGCATGGGATATCAGTACTCTTCTCCAAAGCTACAACTATAAGGCATTGATTCTTCTTCTGTTATCTTTATTCACTGGCCACCTCTCAGATGTATAACAAGTAATTTAAAAAAACCAAAACCAAAACAAACACATGGCTTGGATCAGGTGTACCTTAGCCTTTAAACTGACATCCTTGCTCTTCAGCACTTTGGAAATTTTCTGCACTACAGACTTTCCCAGTGCAACATGTCTTTTGATTACACAACTGCTGGTGCCAAGCTTGTTGACTTTGGATCCAAGTAAAATTTAATCAATGACAATTACTATCTTGTCTCAATTTATCATGATTATCTGTTGGCCTGCTGGTGAGGATTTTTGTTTTTCTGTAACCAGGGTAGGGAGTTTTATTCTGCGTGCAGTAACAAGGTATTGAAGGAATTCAGGCATGATAATGATGTAATTTGATTTGTTACATAGCCCACATAGCTCACCTCTGTTTCCATGTGTGGAAAGTTCACTCTGGTAGCCTAGTGAGTGGGTAAGGATTTGTGGTGCCAACCCAAAAGCAGGTGATTCAAATCCTCTAGGTGGTTTTCCACCCCATGGATGAAAGATGAGAAATCCCCTCCAGAGATTTACAGCCTCTGAAAACCCATTAGAGCGTCAGCTGTGAGTCAATTGATATGTAACAGCCACAACAGCTCTCTTAATCCAATGCATCATCATTTCTTGCTGGCCTTTCTAAGAAGTTCCCTTTTTTTGGGGGGGGCACAAAAAGTGGAGAGAGAAAAGAAAATCATCACCAAAAACAAGGAAATGCAGAAAGAAGGACAAATCCAAGGGAAAGAATTTAAAAAGTAGAGAATTCAATTTTTCGAAGAGTTACTCTATAAAATGTCTAGCCCCAGAATCTAAGGAAACATTTACAGCTCATTCCATCAGGAGTTAAGAACATGCTGAGCTTTGATTATTTTATTTGCTCCTCTGTGGTTGTAATCTTCTGGGAATGAAGGCTAAGGAGATTTTAGTTACAATGTGGGACTGTGTGTTAAATGAATAATTAAGAATAGTGTCACTTATTGGATGTGTATACCCTGACCGTGTATATGGTGAAACTTCTTACCTCCTAATGACATGGAAGACAAGGTTCTTCCCATATAGTCTTAGAATTCTCCAGGGCTAAAAGGGAAGGCTGTTACTTTGATCAGGGATTATGAGCTAGAAGCTTATTTACTCAATGTTAGAGATGATTTAACAACATGTCCTTGAGTATTGTGGCAAGGGACTCTGCCGTATAGAGAATCTTGTGAGAAAAAGAACCTCACAACATAATTTAAAATGAAATGAAAACCCTCGTTGTTTGCTTGAGGCTTCACTCCTGTCGGAGTAATTTTATGGATGTTTTCAAGGTTGGGTGTTTTGGGGGGCTTTTTGGTGTGGCCATGTAAAGTAAAATGGCATGGAGTAACTGTGTTTGCAAAAATAACATGTCTGTGCAGTTAACACAGGTTTTTAGAAAATGCTCACATATGCCTGTCGTATGATAAGTAATCTCAACTTCATTTTGTCAAAAATATTAAAAACTATAATCATGTACATCATTCAGGGCCTGAAGTTTAAATTCATTTCATCAAAACAATTTAAAGCAGACAAGTTGGCATCCAATATTTTTTTTTGCACTTGGTTATCCATATTCTTTTATTGGTTGTATTAATATTTATAATTATGAGGTATTTAATGGAACTTATATTTTTATAATGTTAAAACCTGCTTATTAATAACTATATGAGTAAATATAGCATTAATATTAATAGCTTAAGCGTTCAGAATTTCCCTGGAATAGATAAATGGGATTGATTGGCCTTGCTGAAAATTTAACTTTGTAATACTGAATGGTTTCAGTAAATTTTCCAAGAGAAACCATAGAGAAAGCTTTAATTTGAGAGAGGTAAGGTCAATTACAAAGGCATATGCTTAATCTGCATGAGGTAATAATTCTCATGTGAGATATTCCTTGCTCTAAATAAATTAATCCTTTTCAAAATAATGTTACAGCAAGGCCTTCTGACATAAGAATAATTCTCCCTTACTTGGACACTAATACGGCTTTCCAATCTCTTTTACTAATTCAAACATTTATAAGCTTAGACAAACATAGGTAGGTAGGTAGATTCTTTCTTGAAACATTGAGTGGTAAAATAAATACTATGTATAATTTGTTATTTTAAACTGTTTTCATATAC